GATTAGTAGTTAGGATTGGAATCAAAGGAGATTCAGGTTTAGAATTTTGTCAATCTGCGTTAAAATGTGTTTAAGTAAAATTATTCATAAGAATGTTTGCATGTTATGTAGGTGTTTCCGATATCTCACTTTAACGTGCTTTATGAGATTTAATAGATGAATAGATAATAAATCGATAGTTTCGAAATGAAGGGTCTTTGATATGATATAATTTATTAAAAGTTTAATTGCTAAATTATTTGTAGCCCTTGTGTTAATTGATTTATATTGTAGTATCATATGAAATCGTTGTAAGTTTGGTGCTGCGTTAACAAAATTTGAACTGTCTTCTGAAATCATTTTGTAAATTTTGCAATATTGCGCAATGAACTATTTCCGCGTGACCACCAAGTATTTCGCAGTCAAATTAAAAGTTTGTTCAATATGAAGAGCTTTAGTGATACAACAATCAATCAAGATAGTAAAATTATTGTTTGAAGCAAGTTTAATAGGTTCACAATCCATTTTTGTTATTGGAATTTTAAAATTTAAACAGTCGTTTGTATCGAAAGATTTTCGTAACCGCAATGGAAATCGTAAGTTTAGATTAACTGTAGTATTAGAATTAGAATTATGGAATTTTTGACATTTCGTTACACGTTTGTTCAAATTCTGCTAGACGAGCTTTTATTAATGCTAGTTCGTTTTGTAAAGATTGTAATGATTTTAATGAATCCATTTTAATGTAGATTCACACAAAATTCTAGATGGTTAAGTATAGAGTTAGGTGAAAGATTAGGATGAGTTTAGGATAAGTTAGAAAGGATTGCTTTGACTAACCTTGTTTGATGTGATTCTGTAGCTTCTTGACCGCTTCGTAGATTTTCTTGATGAATGCAGTAATTATGCTGTTGATAATAACGTGCACTGATGAATAGTTTTTGTGGCTCCAGTAGATTACACTGTCAATAATTACTGCGCACTTTGTTAGTTAGATTAAGTAGCTCCAGCGGATTACGCTTTGTTGGAAATCACTGTACACTTTGTAGGTTAAATTTAGTGGCTCCGGTGGATTACGCTGTTAATAATCACTGTGCACTTTGTAGGTTAGATTAGTGGCTCCAGTGGATTACGCTGTTAATAATCACTGTGCACTTTGTAGGTTAGATTAGTGGCTCCAGTGGATTACGCTGTTAATAATCACTGTGCACTTTGTAGGTTAGATTAGTTAATATAAGTTTAAGTTTAACACTGGAGGTCGAATCCGGCTCGAATTGGACCAAAAAATGTAAGCGCCCGGCGCAATGTTTATTAAAAAGTCAATTAAAAATCACTACGCACAGACACTTAATTACCTCGAAGGACCAGATATAATTTATTATCATTAGAATGGCTATATCAGACCTTTAAAAATATGTAAGTTAAATAAGTTGGTTAGTTAATAATAGTATTTATTTGTATGATGTTCACGGTTCAAGTTATGCGTACAGAATGGATATTTTCTTATAACTATCTTAGTACCTAGAGTAGGGTAAGAAATTATTTTATTACAGATTAGAGGGATTTCAGTATATAGGTAGAGGGAGATGGATAAATAAAATTTGTGAGGCCCGAACAATAATATTAAAGTTTATGTGTAGAAAATTTTAATCAATACGTAATAAAATAAGCAGCAATTTCGATATATTTTACTATTTTGCTATAGAAAAGGTAACAAATGGAGCATGGCGTTTTTACACCCTTTGCGCTGCATTCTTTCGAAACGGTTTCACCTTCAAAACGTGCTTTTCGCAAAAACGCATTGCGAAACAAGTACGAACCGAATGTTTTTTTCAACAGATCAATTATTGACACTTTTTGCCACGTATCTTCAAAACGGTTAGGCCTGCTTTTGCCAAAAACTAATCAGCAAATCTCCTTATCAATAGAAATCGAATGTTTTTTAACTTCCCGTAGGGCAAAAGTTTTCGTAATCGATAATGAAATCTTTACGTTTCAGAGGTTTCTAAACATTTTGGCATACCTTAGAAAAAAATTGATGTGTGTGTATATGTTTTTTTTGTATAGCAAAGAAAATGTCTTCATGCATCCCAGACTGGTGTTTTGTCTGGGTATGTTGGACTCAATACCGCCCGAGTACAATACCGACTAAAACCTCCGCTTTGCCCTTGCCTTTGGTCGCCACGTAAACCGCCGTTAGGCATTACTTTGTGTGTTTGTATGTGTATGTGTGCGGATACATATTTTCGTCGACCTTTTCTGGAACACGGTTCAACCGATATCAATTATTCAAAATACATTCGATTCCTAATACTAAAAAGACGTGCTGATTAGTTTTTGGCACAATCAGGTCTAGCCGTTTCGAAGATACATGGCAAAAAGTGCCAAAAACGGTAACTCAGTTTTTCAGAGAACTGAGCGTCCGATTTGAATAATTCAAAAAAACATTTCCCTTGTATTGACAAGATGAAGAACTGATCGAATTTTCATGAAGGCGGGTTTAGCAGTTTCAGAGATCTAGTAAAAAAAGTAAGTTTGGCGGTCATAAATGATCATTAGGCAAATGCACATCAAATTATCAGATATTTTATAGAGATTTTAACAATAAGTATAAATTTTGTTTACATTCCTATGGGTTCCGTACCAATGTTTATCCGTTAGACGGCGACGCGGCGCTTACGCGCTTCGATATTTTGTCTCTATGCAGTTAAAACAGTACGATTGCTTTGAAAAAAATTTCAGAATTTCCTAATTATTTCAAAATAAATTTTTTTTCAAAAAGTCTATTTTTTTTTCAAAAAAAAGTAAATTTTTGTCAAAAATTTATAGTTTCTTAAAAATCTAATTTTTTCAGAGGAATTTTTTTTCAAAAATGGTAATCTTTTTAAAAAAAAAAAAATTGGTACGGGAAGTTCCAGAAATTTGCCTTAAGGCACGATGCCATGCGCCTAATTATTCTAATCGGTTGATCCGTGTTCTCAAAATTGTCGATGGAAATTTGTATCCATACACCATACACACATATATCTATTTTTTCTAAGATATGCCAAAATGTTCAGAAACTTTTTAAACTTCAAGATGTGCAAGAATTTTCGTTTTTGCTTTTTTGCGATTACTATAACTTACCCTACAAGTTAAAAATATAAAAAGTGATGAAAATATAAACATATATAATAATCTATAATAAATAAATAAAATAAATAATAACCAGTTGGTATTGGTATTTTGCCTTGAGGCAAGTTACATGAACTTCCCGATAAATAATCGACTTGATCAATAAAAAATAAATTCATTTATGAGGGATTAAAAGTATTGCCAGCGGATTTATAATATCACACAAAATTGAAAACGAACGAACTCATTATATTAACTCGGAGTATTTTCTAAAGTCAAATTTTCAAAAATCAATATTTTTTATGATTGAACCAGTTGCCGTAGGACTTTAATGGTTTACTATGCTCATTAAGACCAAGTACTCTATCGTTATACCAAGAAAATCGTCAAATTTTAATTTTAACAAATGTCAAAAGAACTTCTCATTTTCTCAAACTTTGATGAATTTTTACAATTAAACTACTTGTCGTCAGGCCGTAATATTTCAATAAGTTGTATAAAAGTTTCATAAAAATCGGCTTAATTTTTTTTTTCAACAGTTAATTATAAGAAAACGGCTCGGTAGATTTTTACCTAAAACTAATCAGTATCATACCCAACTAATATCTTTCGAACAGTTTTTGATTTTTTTATATCGATTCGGTAGTTTGTGCTTAAATGTGGACGAAAAGTTTAACACTTTTTTCCCAATTTCAAAGGAACGGCTCGGTCGATCGTCGCACAAAATTGACAAGCGATAGTCATCATTGAGACACATCAAATGGTTTTTAAATTTCTGAAATCGGTTCAGGCGTTTTTGAGCAATCGTCGATGAAAGGTCTAATTTTGACAAATGCCAAAAAAAGATATTAATTTTTGCAAACTTTGACGAATTTTTAAAGCTAAACGAGTTGTCGTAGGGCCGTAATATTTTAGTATGATCTAGAAGACTATGGTATCTACCGTCAAAAAAATAATAATAAAACTAAAATAAAAACTCATCAGCACGATTCGGAACCAATATATTTCGAACGGTTTTTGAATTTTTAAAATCGATTCAGATCTGCGGGCTAAAACGTGGACGAAATTTTTTTCACTTTTCTGCTATTTACAAAGAACGGCTTGGCTGATCGTCGCGCAAAATTGACAAAACGCTAGTCCCATCGCGATACATCAAATGGCTTTTAAATTTTTGAAATCGGGCCAGCCGTTTTTGAGATAACGTCGATTTTCGGCAAAAAATCTGTTCACACACACACACACACACACACATAGTTTTTCCAAATTTGGTCTCATTCGATTCAGAATGGCTTGAAAAGTCGAGAAAACATAAAATTAGCGAATCGGATTTTTTTATGAAAACATAAACTTCTCCTGCGGAAAGTTAATAATAAACGATGCATCCTTCTACCTTTCAAAGTTGAACATGACATTGATAGCACAGTGTAAGAGGTTTTGCAGATATTATATTTTGAACTTTTCAGCACCGTGTTGATGATTTTCTTCGTTGATGAAGAATCCTTCTTTCCTTTAATGGGCACTCTGCTGGTTTGGTGGCCCAGCTGTTCTTCATAACGTTTGCAACTTGAGATTGTCGGTTCAAATAAATATGCCTTACGTTATCGAAGTAACCATATAAGTTAGTAATATCAGTAATATTTGTCTGATTCCAGTAATATTAGTCTGATTTGCTTTCCTCCTCTAACTTAAGATATTTTTGGTCTAACATAATGAATTAGATGTGCAAGATTGATATAACTGACTTACATAAAATATCATAATGATATTATTTCTAAAATTAAAACCAATTTTTAATTTTCAATAAAAAATATATTTGTATAAAATAAACTTATTAATAATAACATTTCAACAGTATTCATATCTATTTAATAAACATTTTATCAGTTCTTCCGGAACGATAAATCAAATCACCAATTTTTCTGACTGTTTTCATTTTTAGAAACTACGGCGTTGAATCCCTTGAAGTCATCAGCTGTATATTTTACTGTGCGGACCGAACCATCGGGTTCCACCAAAGAGTATTGTCCTAAAATATTTTTTTAAAATGTTAATATATATATGTATATATATATATATATATAAATATATATATATATATATATATATATGTATATGTATATATATGTATATATAATCATTATTTTATAAAGTTTATCTACGATTTTGTTATGAAATATGTACCGAGCTTGCTCAAATTTTAACCTTCAAATAAGTTTTATTGAATCGAATGTCAAATTGATATTTAATAATTGCTAACTACATTTGTGAATAGCAAATATCATAAATATTAAAAAAGATTACCTGTGACAACGTCTCCGTCTCGGGATTCATGTTGCGACTTGACATCCCCCGTGCCTTGATCAGTAACACCATAGTTAAAGGTGTATTTGGGATATGTCTGTTGAAAAAAAAACTATTAATATATTTAGTGATGATCAAAGATGATTAATTTAAAAGAGTGATTGTTTTTGTTGAACAATAAATTGTCTGAAAAAACTAATCAGGTATCTGATTTATAATTAAAATTGAAAATTATTCTGCTTGAACAATTTTTCTTATTAATTGAACATACGTGGTAGTCTTGACCATGGTTGTCGGTGTTTTGTTTTACATTGACCTTTTCATGTTTGATACTTTGGTTTTCTAGTTTTTGAAATCTTTGAGATTCTTGTACTTTATTGAGTTCTATATAGTTTGTCTGATCTTGAGTTTGAGCTTCATATGAATGTACTTGGTTAGAATGATCTTGGCTAGCGTAAATTTGGTTGGCATGTGTATTGTGGCTTGCGTATTGATTTTCGCACTCTTGGCTATAGTAATATTGATTCGCTTGTTGTTGAGTTGTTAATTGTTGATGTGCATATTGTTCAGCTTGTTCTTGATGAGCTTCTCGTTGTTGATCAAATTGTGGAGTGATTGCTTGTTGGCGAACAAATTGTTGATATGCTTCTTCTTGATGGGCAAATTGTTGATGAGGATCTTGTTGAGGAACAACTTGCTGATTATTAACTTGCTGCTGAATAGGTTGCAGACTGGCATCTTGTTGGTGAACAAATTGCTGAATAGTATTTTGCTGGTGAATGAACTGTGGATCAGCGTTTTTTTTGTAAGCAAATTGTTTTTGTTGGTTAAGAGTATGTGCATACTGTTTAACGGGTTGTTCTTGCTCCAAATATTGTTGACTGACGTGTTGTTGAGCAACCTGTTGTTGTTGTAACTGATAATTTCTGTATTGATTTTGAGTAGAAGATGTGTCATGCAAAATTACGTAGTTTACTGAGAAGCCCTTTTGCCGAGGTATTAAACTAACAAAATGTTCTTTGGTATATTGCTGATTAGCTGGTTGTTGTAGAGCGTATTCACCATTGGTCAAGTATTGAGTTACCTCTTGATTGAGCTGTTGCTGTTGATGCTCGTATTGTTGTTTCTCCTGCAGTGCATGCGCATATTGTTGGATGCCTTGTTCAATCAAATATTTTTCTTTGACGTATTGTTCATTGGTACCTTGCTGAGTAGAAAGTAATTGTTTCACTTGGTCATTGCTACTGTATTGATGTTGATTTGGTATTTTGTCATGCAATATTACGTAGTTGACTGAACTTCCTTTTTGACTAGGTTTATGCGCACACACTGCACCTACTATCGCTAGAAGTATTATATTCTGAAAATAAATTTATTATTAATTATTTATTTTTATTAGTAAAAATAATCACCAATAATTAAAAATAGACATTAATTAAGTTAATTTAGAATTATAAATAAGCAAAATGTAAAAAGCACCAAATTTTCCAAATGTTTGATAAGCGTCAGAATCTCGAAATTTGAATCAGTATAATTTAGCACGTTTTTGCAGTTGCCTTTTTAAATGAATAATTACTACAAAGATATATAAATAGGCCAATTCGATATTATATTATACCTTTATGAATACCATTTTTGAGAATGAACAATGAACAACTGATGCTTCTTTGGGCAAATTCAAATCATTTTATAGTATGAGGCGAACACAAGTGTTTATCAGTGCGAATCGCATTCCCGTATGCATCGAAACAAAAATTACTTAATTTTTTGATAATTTATCATTATAAGGAGATTAAATAATAATTCGCATTCCAGTTACGTGCATGCAATTCTGAACGTAAAAAATTACATAAATTTCAAGTAAGTGTAATTAATTAGAACAAATATTTTTTAAACATATCTATATGAATTCTACAATTCAAAGTTGTGAGTATGTATAACATAATATAAACATGTTGAAAAGAGTGAGAATTGAGCAAACAAAATTATTTACCCGAATAATTATGCACTAACACTTCGTATATCATCAGAAACAACTTTTTTATAAATTTTGAATGTAATTTTTAAGTATACGTTATTCAATTGCTTTATTCATTTTGTCAAATTGTAACCGACAACACGTACGAACACACACACATACATACATACTATTATTTTAAAGTATGCCAAAACGATTAGATTAGAAGATATTTTCGATTTCTTTGCGATCACTATAACGTACCCTACAGGAAGTTAAAAATTAAAATTTATGTTTTCAAAAAAATTTAATCCATTTTTAAATATTTAAATTTTCAGTGCGGAAGTTCCAGCATTTATATTTTGCATTGGTTTTGCAATGGTTTTGCAGGGGCGTAACTACCGCCGTATCAGCAGTATCAAAAATACGAGGCCCCCGTAGCAAAACAATAATTTTTCAAAATATTGAATAATTTTAACGTAGTTTGCATTTCCCTTTATTATCGAGAGGTATTGAACTTCAACTTGTGAGCTACTTAACGCTTTAGAATTTATTTCTGCTGCAATGTTTCTGCAAGCTCTAGCAATCAATTCAATTAGGAAAGCTTTTACACATCCGTTAAGTTAATATTCTTTTGTAGATATGAACGAATCTATATAATTAATCCAGTTTATACATTCCTCATTGAAAAATGGAATTTGGAATTTTTTTAGTTATATTTATAACATTTTTATATTTGTTTTTGTTACTTCTGGAATTGTCTGCATGACGCGTAAGTTTAATAGTTAGATTTAGATAAATATGATTAACTAAATCATTTTCAGATTTCTTTCTTTACTGTTTCAAATTATTGGTATCATTTCTGAAACTCTACAACATGCCAGTAATGACTTACAAAAAACTAGTATTTAATTAAGTAATATTTTGAATAGATTATTAGAATTAAGATATAAATTTTTATTGAATTGGTTTGCTAAAGAAGTGCAGATAATTTGCAAAAAAATGGATTGCAATAACCATTTTAAAGAACAAAAGACAAAAGCTAATGAAGCTATATTATGATGAGAGAATTTCAGGCCCGAAATCTTATTTTAATATATACTATTGCTGTTTGGATATTAAATTCACAAACCAAACAAAGACTTCAAAACCTTTGCGACTTAAATGTTACTACATTTGTCTTTTTGAAATCGAGAATTAATAACAGTTTCCGGAAAACAGTCGACTGAATTACTGTAAAGAAATACTGTAAAAATATCTCATAATCATGACCAATTGATGGTTCAAGAAATAGTCTTGAATACAGAAATCTAGGAAATTTATTTTATTAAGATACAATGTGATGGATGCAATAGGCTTGCATCGGTTTGCATAGGTTTGGCCCTTTCAGTTACAATCGCAACTGCTTTAAAATGATATTTTTAAAATTAAAGCTAATTAAAAACTACGTAAAAACTTTAGGACAGAAACGTCTACTAGATATGTATGTTCCTAGAGACAGAAACTTTATAAATATTAAAGTCACTAAATAATTCAGTTTTTTAAAAAAAAAAGGTAGGGTGAGTGAATGAATATCTGGAATCATTTGTGAAAAAATCAGAAAATTAGAGATAATTAGATAGATAAATAATCAGAATGATAAATAAATTTTCTTTTAATTTTATGTATTTTTATAATTTATAAAAAAAAATTCTTCATGGCCCCCAAACAAATTTTGATATGGAGCCCCTCCAAGGTACGCTACGCCCCTGGCAATGCAGCTATTATTTTGTAAAATCTATTCAAAATAAAAATAAAAAGCTTGACCTGTGTGCCCCTTGGCCGCCCTAATTTACCCCGCCTATAGTATAAAAAAGACCAGGTTAGAAAATTTTTGAAAAACAGCACAAAAACACATATCTACAAAGTTAAATTGGATCTTTGTGCCCCGCCCTGGCATATTTATACTTTTATACTTTCACATTAATATTTTCTAATTTATTAGTTTTGTTTGGGATTTTATTGAAAATATATTTCATATACGTATGCTTTGTTCTCATTTGATTTATTAAATTTATACATGTTTATCTAAGAAAATTATCTATATTATATATTTATCTAGAATCTAGATTTATTCCTAGGGGTAAATTTACGTGTTCGCGCCCCTGTGGTGAGAGTGCAAAATCAAAATTAAAACTAGTGAGGCGCATGGCATCGAGCCTTAAGGCAAATTGCTGGAACTTCCTGTACCAAAAATTATTTTTTTTAAAAAGATTAACATTGTTAAAAAAAATTTATTCTGCAAAATTAGATTTTTGAGAAACTATAAATTTTTGAAAAAAATTTACTTTTTTAAAAAAAAAAGACTTTTTGAAGAAAAATTTATTTTGAAAATTTTTAGAAATTCTGAACTTTTTTCAAAGCAATCGTACTGCTTTAACTGCATAGAGACGAAATATCGAAGCGCGTAAGCGCCGCGTCGCCGTCTAACGGATAAACATTGGTACGGAACCCATAGGAATGTAAACAAAATTTATACTTATTGTTAAAATATCTGATAATTTGATGTGCATATGTTTAATGATCATCTTTGACCGTCAAATGGCATTTTTTCTCACTTTTTTTACTAGATCTCCGAAACCGCTAGACCTGCCTTCATGAAAATTTGATCAGTTCTTTAACTTGTTAGTACAAATAATTTTTTTTTTTTTGAATTATTCAAATCGGACGCTCCGTTCTCTTAAAAATTGATTTACCGTTTTTGGAACTTTTTGCCCAAAATCTTCGGAATGGCTAGACCTGCCTTCGTCAAAAACTAATCAGCACGTCTCCTTATCAATACGAATCGAATGTTTTTTTATTTATTCAAATCGCTTCATCCGTGTTCTCGAAATCGTCGACGAAAATTTGTATCCGCACACACACATACATCAATTTTTTCTAAGGTATGCCAAAATGTTCAGAAGGTTTTGGAACGTAAAGATATATAAAAATTTTTATGTTCGTTTTTTTGCTATTTCTATAATTTGCCATACGGGAAGTTAATAATGTCAAAGCGTCCGTGTTTGCGATTTAATTATAATTTTAGCTATGAGTTTTATCTAGTGGTTTTTAAAATTCTGAAATCGGTGCATCGGTTTTTGAGAAAACGTTGACAAAGTTTAAATTTTGGCTCTCACACTGAGACATTTTGTCAAATTTTGGCATCAAACAATTCAGAATGACTTTAATGACGTCGAGAAAATAAAATTCACAAAACGGGTTAAGAATATATTCAAACCTATTCATTTCAATTAACTTGCTCCTTCATAGATGTCGCAGCACTATTTATGCATTTATTTAATGCTGCCAAAACAATAATACAGCTCGTGTTAAAGTATTTTGCAATATCAATTAGTTTTGTTAATAATAAAATACATTGAGATGAGAGAGTAGAATTTTTAAAAACTTGACTTTTTAACGTGATATGTGCAACACTAATAATTGCGTTGAAATAATATTAACCATAACCTTCAGACTTTGTTTAATTTATCTGAATTTAATTTGATGAAAATTAGCAGTATTGTTGTTACAAATGGGTAAACGCCGTGAGACTAGTACCGAGGATGACTTGAGTTTAGGTAAATTATTTAACTTTGACTTAATTTGCATTTAAAACTTTTGTATTAAAATTTTAGACTAAAACGACTGAACCATATGATATACCCAATTATTGTAAAATATTTACTTGCTGTCAACTTATGTTAGTCAGTTGTGAAATGTATAATTTGGTTTTTATACGCCTTACATTTTTCAGTACAAAAATAACACTGTGTGACAAAAATGGCACTGTTGTGTTTTCTCTCAAACCTTCTTTTAAAACTTAGAATTGCACGTAGATTTCAAATATAAATTTCGTTTTCACTTGCAGCTTTTTTTTGAGTTTTATAGAACCATTTCCATTAATCATTTGGCTATAAATATCATAGTTTAACGAATAACTAAGAGTTTTATCTGCTGTTTTTAGTAAGGCTCCTTCAATAAATGTTGTGTGCATAATCCAGATGGTTTTTGATACATCTGTGATGAATATATTTTTGATAAATACTGAAAATATCAAAAAGAAATGCTATATTTTTAATACGCCCATCATCTGTATCTTCTGTGTGGTAAATATCAATGGAATAAACTCAGGCAGTAAAAGCATATGGTCATACACCTTGACCCTAATGGTCTTCGAATCTATTTACAATCAACTACACAACTCCTATCCATGCTAATGATGATCAACCTAGCAAATCAAAATCTTCTGTCTATCATGTAATGGATTGAAAGACAAAACGATAAAAGAGAAGAAAGGAAGAGTTAAAAACTGATATTACCGATAATTCCCAGATTAATCAGCTTCAAAGAAAAAACGCGGTTTGTAAGTTGTGTGAATAAAATTAAGAATAAAGACATCAGGACTTTGAACAAGCGATGTCAAGGGAGGTGGAAAGTCCGCATAATGGCTTACAAATGTTGGAGCTCACAACGAGTTCAGTCAGGCCTTGTCCACTCTCGAAAATTATAAAAAAAAAGTTTAATTCACAAAATAAAATGTGTAATTTTTTATTGTATCCTGAAATTATTTGATTGCTTAGATTACGGCTTGGCCATTACTTAATAAAAAATATTACTAACATGTTTATTATTACTTTCAGAACTTTCTGACCTTTCGCCATCCCCCAAAAAGCATAAAAAACATAAGCACAAAAAGCATAAAAAGTCTAAATCTCACGACAATGATTTATTAGCTGATTTGTGTTCAGAAGCAGAGGTTTTAAATAAAACACCCGCCAGTACCGAAAAAGTAAAACAATTTAGCACTAAAAATAATCAAGATCAAAATGCTGCTATACCATCAACATCAAGGTCTACTACTCCTCCGAAAGTTAAGAAAAAGAAACGTAAAGATAGTGGAACATCGAGTGAGGAGGAAAGATGGTTAGATGCTATTGAAAGTGGAAAATTAGAAGAGGTATGTAAAAGTTCAGAGTTATAATATAACATGAAAATGTGTAAAATTGAATTTGGCTACATATTTTTGCTTTGATTAATTTTGCCACCTAACATTGCGATAATTCAGGCACATCAAACACCTTTTGTGACAATAATATAAAAACATAAAAACAATCTTAATTATTGATACAATAATGCTACATTGAACACAATTCAAAAAATAAAAAATATGCATTTGAAGAACTGAACTGAAAGTGTTTTTTATAAAAATGAATTTTTATAACTTCCTATATATGGCAGGTATATGTCTTATGTTTCATAAGATTTCATATACTTTTTGTAAGTGCAATACTCCTTATACTTGATTTTTTGCATTATTGTCTTTTGTACCTAAAATTAAATGTACTGATGTCCATACCATATGAAAATATAAATATATAAATGTTTCCCAATGTTGTTAACAGGGCCCAATGTGCGTAAACAAACATTAATAGCTAAAAACATTTCAATTTTTATTTCACAAAAAGCAAAAGTCCAATTATTAATGAAAACTTTTTATAACTAGACTTAATTTCGAAGAAAAAATATCAGGGAAATGAAAAAATACATTCGCAGAAAATTATCATTTTTCCGAGATGCAGGAGACCCCAACTTGAAGCAAAAAAGACAAACTAATCATTCAAACTCTGTACCTACTAATTTTAATTTCGAAAGAATACTGTGAATAATGCAAAAATACAATTTTAGAGGATTATGGTTGCTAAATGCTTGCCACATTTTTTTTTAATATTTGAAATTTTTAATCATGTTTCTATAGCTTTACAGATGCTTTGAAGCATGCACATAAATACTAATAGAAAATTAGTATTTTAATAAGATATTTTTTCAATATCTTATGTGAACGAAGAAATAATAATGAATTAAATTGTTTGATAAATAAGTACAAAGATTTAGCAAAAGAATGGAGGGTAATGAATAGTTTTAAATACAAAAGGCAAAATATAGCGAATCTTTTTATTTTTATGGTTTGCAATTTAAGAGAATTTCTGACTCGGAATCTGATTTATGATTTAAAGAAAAAAGTAACTTAAATTAAGTAAAAATTAGATTGAATATGTAAAGAAAAGGAATAAAATCATCTGCAAAACTAATAGATCTTTTGAAATTGGTGAAGAGACCTAACTAGTTTTAAAATTTCTCCCATATAACAATTTTCAACATGAATTTTAGGTATCATACTTATTTCTATATCACGCAATTTATTTTCCATTGTCAGTAATCAAGATGAAATAATCTTGTAGGTTGACGACGAACTAAAAAAGATTAAACCGAAAGATCCAAAGCTTATGACTGCCAGGCAACGTGCAATGTACGATAGAGGTGGCGAAATGGCAATCGCAGTAGAAGAACAACTCATGTCCTTGCCGAGTGGTAAACAATTGATAGATCTAGAAATGTTATTTAGATTTTATTTATCATAATCATTTTTGTTATTGTTCATAGGATATAAAGAAAAGGTCATGACAGCGGAAGCAATTCAAAAAGCTGCTCTCAAGAGTCAAAAAAGAAAACAACTTGCTGATGAAAAACGAGAAAAAGATAAGAAAAAGACTATGGAAAGATTATTGAAGAAACAAGAATCTAAGACAGGCAAAGCTACCAAATGCAAAGTATCAAGAAGTCAGGAGCCATATATTTCATATAAACAAAACAATAATTTCACCACACTTTCTTTTCCAAATGGAATAGTATATCCCTTAGTTAAACAAGAACGAACATCACCCCCTAAAATTATTGTTTGTCATGTCGATGGTTGTAATAACCCTAAGAAATATAATTGCAATAAAACAAATGTTCCTTTATGCAGTCTGCTATGCTATAAAAAGCATTTTGAAAATTTAAGAAAAATAATTTTTTAATGTGAGAATTAAGTATTAAATTACCCTTTATGAAAGATTTCATCTGATACTAAATATTTATATTTATAATAATTTAAATCGAAATTATATTTGTAATTGTTGCTTAGGTATAATATTTATTATTGAAATATTGATTCAAATATTTTAACATTGTAAAAATGTATTTTTATTCAAATAAAATATATTTGTAATAAAAATTAATCAATATATTTATGCATTCAGGTTAATATTGGTACTAATTGTTGTAAGTGTTAATCATGTGTAAATATTTAATGAATAATTTGAATTTTATGCGAAATATTATATTTTTGCTATTGTTCGAGTATAATGTTTGAAAATTTAATTTTGGAAGCTACAATCTACAGAAGCAATATAATTCATTCAATATAACTAACAAATTAAATTAATTTTTACAATCATGCTTTATTTAAAATATGAATATAAATAAATAGTTCAAAGATTTACAACACCACATTTTTTGCGACAAATCACATGGGAGCTTGTGGGGTAAACTGTTAGAACAAATGCGTTTTACTCAGTACAGTAAACCCTCGCTTTACGCGGCAAGTGCGTACCGTGCAGCAACTAGGACTTCCTATTACACGGTTTTTGTTTAACAGCCCATAAGTTCCTTGCGCAACCTATGAGTGATTCTAGTAACTTCATATCAAAAGAGTATTAATGTAAGTTTTGTTATCGACTTTTATCTTTTAGACATGCCTGATTATATAATAGCTGCCTAAGAACACGTTTGAGCTGACTACTGCGTCGCGCCAATTTTTGAATGAGTTGTCTATGTCATATATGTCATTTCGTCCGCATTACTCCTATTTCAAGATAAAAATGGTGCGATTTGTACCAACTCTGATTGAGTCTCTCATAGCAGGGTTCCTATACTACACTATGTAAGGTTCCATAGAACGCGCTACGAATTAGCTTGAATTGTATGTTAAAAATGGTTAAAAACGAGCTTCTTATAGCACGATCCCATAGAGCTTACATAAGTATTGTATAAGGTCAATGCACGATCCTCATACTGCACAGTTCATCATTCTATCGGCTGCTTTCGAGTAGTGAAGATCTATTGCGTAATACTATCAAATTATTGTGTACACTCCCTATTATAGTAATATTAATATTAAAAGTACTAGTGAACTAATATAAGTGTTTCAGTGTATAGTTTATAGTGATTTTTAATTCACATTTAATTTATTACTTTTTAATATATGTTCCCTGCAGGGGAACATATAAAAAACTATAATGAACTTCCCTTAGTGGAAGCTCAACAAGTATTGGACGATACATCCAATACTAATGCTGAATATGTAACAAAATATCTAGCAGAAAACAATACAAACATGAATATTGATTCACAAAACAATGACCTGGTTATGGAACATCAATCAGATACAACCGCCACTAAATTTGCTGAAAAAAATCAGTTCAGTGTATTATCTGACGACTCTTCGGATCCCGAAGATGATTTTCAACAAGTTCAGAGCCGGAAGCGTAAGAAAACAACAAATCCTAATACCAATGCCACAAATAATCAAATCAAATCAAAAATGCCTCCAATAATTTTGAAATGCAGACTACCAAATAATAATTATTTCAAAGAACTTCAAAAAATAACCACCGGTCAACTAATATCACAATATAAAAATATGAATAATTCAATTTTATATACTTCCAATGAAAACGACTACGACATTGTGCTAAATAAATTAAAAGATGACAATTTACAGTATTTCACCTATCCGAAAACTAATCAGAATAAAAAAAAAATTGTTGCCAAAGGTCTGCCACCGTTTATTGGAAAGGATGATATTATCGATTATTTTTTCTTTTTTTTTTTTTTTTTTATATACTTTATTTAATAGCAATCAGAATTTACAAAATTCTATGAGCTATTATGCTTATGTTATAAACACACTCACACAGTAAACATACTCACACACAGTCATACACACACACATAATAAATTGGCTGAATTTTAAAAGTTTCAATAGCTGCCACTCCATCGAGTGGTCAGCTAATCTGGCTGAGGTAAATAATGGCTAAGTCTGGTCTTTATTGCTCAATCTTCAAATCAATTGGGACTTTTCTTTTGAGCCTCCTAGATCGGGGTTCTTGAAGAAGATGTTTAACTATGTCATTGGGATGGGATTCCAACTTCTCAAAATGGCGATGACTGGTACTGGTAATAACATCTTTCACAAATGGTATGTTCAAGTCATCATGAATGGTTTTATTACTGACATACCATGGAGCGTTCACGATCTGCCTCAGAATTTTTGATTGTGCTCGTTGGATTGAATCAATGTGGGATTTTCTTGCACATCCCCATAATTCCACACCATAGGTCCATATCGGCATTAGTAGTTTGTTTTCAATAGGCAATTTTGATTTGTTACCTATGAGCCAATAGAGTTCCTTAGCTCTATTTTTCACTAGAGCTATTTTTGATAGTATATGTTGCTTCCAGGTTAGTTTGCTATCTAATATCATCCCGAGATATTTTGTTGAGTGTTTAACTGGAATTGTCTTATCATGAAATTGAACTGCTGGGCAAGAAGATTTGTTGAGTGTGAATATTACATGAGTTGATTTATTATCATTAATTTTTATACGCCATTTGCTAGTCCATTTTTCAATGACTCTTAGATGACTCTGGAGCCTTCTCGATGCAACAACTGGATCAGGATCGGAAGATAGAATAGCAATATCATCGGCAAATGTTGCAGTTGTTAAATTTTCATCTGTAGGAAAATCGCTAGTATAGAGCAGGTATAGATATGGACCCAGTACACTTCCTTGAGGGACTCCTGCTTCAACCAAGCAGGCTGATGAAGTTTCCATATTCACTTTAACTTTAAACCGTCTATTTTGAAGATACGATTCCAGCAATTTATGATACTCAATTGGGAGAGATGATTTTATCTTATACACTAATCCTTTGTGCCATACTTTATCAAAAGCTTGATTTACATCAAGGAAAACTGATGAGCAGAATTGTTTTGTTTCTAGGGTGTTGTGGATGATGTTCACAATTCTATGGCATTGTTGAATCGTCGAGTGTTGTCTTCGAAAACCAAACTGATGGTCTGGAATTACATTAGTATTGTTTTGTATATGTTTAAGCAAAAGTTTTTCAAATACTATTGATGCCACTGGTAGGAGACTAATAGGTCGGTAGGATGACACATTACATGGGTCTTTACCGTTTTTGTGGATCATTTTAACTATTGAAGTTTTATAATGTACTGGCCAATAATTTAGCCTAATCATAGCGTTGAATAGGTATGTTAGTAGGATAAATCCCTTTTTGGGCATTTCCTTCAACAGTTTCGGTGTAATTGAGTCAAAACCAGCGGATTTATTAGTTTTTAGTTTAGCTATTTCTTTGAATACCATATTCAATGAAAAGAATTTAAGACAGTTGCTGCCCTTATTCACTGGTGCAAACGGGTTTAAATCCAGATCATTTGAAGAGATACGAACAGGATTTGGTTTAAAAACTGAGGATAGATGTTGGGCGAATAATTCAGCTTTTTCTCCATCGCTCCTTGCCCATGATAGATCATCACCTACTGCTCCTGTTATATCGTTACGGCGTAAAGGCGGATTCCTGAGAGCCGGTTTTAGCCTGTTCCTAATCGGTTTCCAGATAGAGTTATCATATCGATTTAAGCTTTGTACATAATTATTAAAATTTTCTTCATTTAGTTCTTTAAGCCGAGATTTAAGCTTATTAGTCAAGTTGTTAAGAATGTTTTTGTCAGACGGTAAATGTGTATGTTGCCATTTGCACCTAGCTTTACGTTTTTCACTTGAAAGTTTTTTTATTTCAAGTGGAATAGAATGTTTTTGATTTTGTTGATCTATAGGTGTAGCAGCCTTAACAGCTTCCAGCAGAGTTTTGTTGAATGTTGCAATACCATCTTCTATTTCCCGACATGTTTTGAGTTTCATTTTTAAATTAGTATTTTTCTCAGTAATTTGGCGATATAGTTCCCAATTAGTTTTAGCAGAATGAGGTTTTGGAGTTCTTTGCAGGTTCACAGCCGTAGAGAATATGGTTGCTATCACGGGGGAATGGTCTGATGAGAGGTCGTAACTAGGTTGTATTTCAACACATTTGAAACTTAGACCATTAGCGACAAAGAAGTCTAACAGATCGGGTTTCTTCTTAGGATCGGCTGGCCAGTAGGTGGGTGTGCCCGTTGAAAAGGTGGAGAAACCATGTCGAAGGATCATCTCATACAGTTGTTTACCTTTTGGATTTGATATCCTTGAGCCCCAGAGAGAGTGCTTACTGTTAAAGTCACCGCCAGCTATGAACTTTGATCCAAGCATTGAGAAATATTCGTAAAATTGGGAACTGTTAATAATATGTCGAGATGGACAGTATACGGCTGAAATTACTAATTCGTAATTCATCAGTTTTGTTTTGACAGAAGTTGCTTGAATTTGTTCTTTACAAAAATTTTGCAGCTCATAGTGAACAATATCAGATTTTATTAGAATTGCCGTGCCCCCGTGGGCTGTTCCATCCGGATGAGGTGTGTGGTACAATTTATAGTTCGGGACGTACATATTTGAGTAATGCGTAAAATGTGTTTCACTAACAAGGAGTATATCTATTTTATTCTCGAAAAGAAAAAACTGAATCTCATGTTTATGCTTCAAGAGCCCATTTGCATTCCATAACGCAATCCTTATAAACCTCGCCATGGTGTTTACTTTGTTTTATTTATGAAAGCTGATAACATGTTTATGATCATGTTGTTTTGATTCATCAATTGTTGGAACATATTTTTGAATTCATTTAAGAAAATTGTTAAATTTCCAGCAGAGTTTTCACTGGTTGCATTAGCCTGTTGATGAAATTGTTGTGATCTCATAACTTGTGCATATGTCATATGATGAGAATTTGCATGCCTTACTTGGTCCATGTTCTTAGAAGTTGTTGGCCCATATTGATTTTCAATGCGGTTACCGTATGGTCGTTTCGTGTGTTCTTCTCTTCTTGCAATAATTTTCTGATATACTGGACACCCTTTAAAGTTAGCAGTATGTTTATTCAAACAGTTAGCACAAGTAGCTGGAGTTTCTTTAGTCTTAGTACATGACTTAGAGGGGTGCTCATCTCCACATTTAACGCACATGTGTGGCTTATTACAAAATGATTTGCTGTGGCCATAGTCTTGGCATCTTTTACACTGGATGATTTGTGAAGTTCGTATCGGTGGTTCAAAGTGTACTATTTTATTTAAAATTTTATTCACAGTAAAAATTTCATGGTTATTCTTATTTGGTTCTAAGTCTACATAAAACATATTAAGCGGTTCTCTTGATCTATAGTGTATGACGTTAACTATATTACGCACTTTATGTCCATTTTTTTCAATCTCTTGCTTTATTTCTTCAACATTAGTGGTTGAGTAAATATATTTCAGAACAACTCTGTACGCTCTTTCACTTTTTACCTGATAAGTATGATAAGCAACATTGCGTTGTTTCAGAAGTTTAACAAAGTTTCTATAGTCTGCTATTGTTGAAACGTTAAATTTGATAACATTGTCAGCCAAGGTTTTTGTTGTGTAACTGTTATCGGGCAAGACCGGTTTTAGAACGTTAATCATATCGGGAAAATTTGTTACTCCATGAATGTACACCGGCGGTGGTAATTCCTTTTTTGGCTGAGAAATTGCTTCAGTATTTGCTGATGATGACGATGGTTGATCATTAATTATTGATTTTTCATTATTGGCAAGAACATTGAATCTGTTAGTCAACTTTATAGTTTCAGTCGGCCTATTAATCCGTCTTCTTTTTGCACTCGTCACAGTTTGCCAAGAATTTGTCAAACTATTTTGCGCAGTATCAGTTTCCATGGCGGCTGAGGAATTTAACATTTTTTGAGAGGTTTGAATTAATTTTAAACGCAATTGTTCAGTAACAAAATCTGAGCAAGTTTGTGAATCATCATTTAGGACATTGTTTACTTCTGATAATGGTATGTTTAAAGAGGTGCTCATTGAGTTCCCCAAGGGGAGACTCATGAGTTAAGCAATGATTTCACTAATCACTAATAAACACTATTTATTAACACAAAAACTATCACAATAATTATTTAATTTAAGTACTATATATTACTACTGAACACTGTTTATACTGCAATAGCACAGGTATAACTCGCAGGTAGATATTTTATCTGTATTTAGATCCGACTGGGTCGGCTGCTCGTGGCGAACTAATGATCGATTATTTACGATCGACAAAAAATATAAAAATAAGAAACGTTATTCAAATGACAAAAACAGTGGAGCAAATCAAGTACAAACTACCTATACACATATTAATACTGGAGTCAGACCAAAATATGGAAGACTTCAAAAACATAAATCACATTATGGGACATAAAGTAATATGGGAACGTCTTTTAACTAACAGCAATAACATTCTACAATGTTTTAGATGTCAAAATTATGGCCATTCTTCTAAATTTTGTAATTTAGAATTTAGATGTGTCAAATGTAGAAATGAACATGAACCGGGAAAATGTAATAAGACTGCTGAACAAAAACCAAAATGTGTCAACTGTGGGCTAGATCAGGGGTCGGCAACCTTTTAACTGTGGTGTGCCAAGCCACTGTACCAATATGATTCAGAGTGCCGCCTTAATTCTGAACAAGGACGTAGCGTGCATTGGCGGGGCCCTGTATCAAAATTTTTTTGGGGATAAAGTTTCTGCTTCTATGAACAATAATGATCTGAGTGCTGTTTGTGTATCATACAAGTATTTAACTTCCTGAAAGAAATGTTCAATTTTTTTTGCCAGAAAATGTTTGTTTACAACGATAGGCTGAGCCGATTTCTCGAAATTAGGAGAAGAGTGCTATAATTTTCGCCCTCGTTTCAAAATCAAGAACTGTTCGGATTATATCCCCCGGACCTCTTTTTCTTTTAAAAAATCAAAAAATTTGGAATAAATCTAAATTCTTATTGATTGTGTCGATTATTTACACATATCGGGAAATACAAGCAAAGTTTCCTAAGACTTACAACTAATTAGCTAATTTTGTATCAGTTTTATTTTTGAAAAACTTTTTTCAGCATTTGCGGTTGAAACTGGGTAAATTATATGCAAAAATTACTTCGGGAAAATTTTAAGCAAAAGTATTGAATTTTGACAGCGATATAATAAATATTGAATTTCATATTTTAGACATATTTTTCGAGTGTTCACAATTGGTTATAAAAATTAACAGAGATGATCTTACTGTATTTAGACGAAAGTTTCATGAAGACAGGTGTTTTTGCTAAATTACTCAAGTTGTAATTATTCGAACATACTAATTGAGTCGAAGTCTCTGATCTTTGTTTAATTTCAGAAATTAATATGTATATTTAGCAATAGTATATGTTGAGTTTGAAACAAGATTACGGGTTGCTATACTTTGCCTTTTGTTTTTGAAAACAGTCGTTTACGCTCCATTCCTTTGATAATTTTTCGAGACATTTAGCAAACTGCTGAATTAATTTTAATTTTTTAATTTGCACAAAATGACTTAATAAAATGCTAGTTTTCTATTCTATCGCAATCGCAACTCTCTTTATATTTTTACATTTTACACGCTCATGTTTTATTCGAAATTAAATTTAGTTGCAAGGAAGTTTTCATGATTATTTTAACTTTTGTTATTTGTAAAATAAGATAAAAATTCGTAAGATTCTATTAATATTTGGGCAGGTTGGGCCCCCATGGCCCGGAAAAATACACTTTAAAACAATAATTTTACATTTCTCTTAATGAAATTAAATTTCACTGAACAAATTTTTCACGATTAATTCGCTTTTTGTGAAATAATTTTTCTATTATTAATATTTGCTTACGGACGTTGGGGGCCCCCCTGGCTTGGGGCTGATATGGCTGATACGGCGGTAGTTACGCCCATGATTCTGAAATATATAATTAGGTTCTAGGAGAGATGAATTAAAACCAAATTTATCTTTTAAACATATTTATTAACAAATAACCTACAATTCTAACATAAACTAAACAATTTTAATGTGAACCTTGTCCCTGTACATTTTTGCTTAACAATTCAATATCCGGGGTATAATTTGTTACTTTTAATTTCACACATGATTCTGAATGTTCAGTTGTTAAACGACTTCTTTGTGAACTCAAAATATTTTTCATGTGTGAAAAAATTTGTTCACAAAGATATGTGGAACCAAAAGCTGAAAGGAGAGCGCATGCAATTTTCTTTAAACAAATAAATCTTTCCGGCAATGACATCCAACAATTCAATATGACCGTCGATTTTTCTATAGAGTCATCTTCTAGATTTTTTCGTAGTTCTTTAAATTTTGTTTTCCATAATTCTGACGATGTTAGTTCGATAATTTCCATTTCGAAATTAGCAACATTCATCCACTCGAAAATTGGACAATCGAACGGTATTGTTGATGAATCTAAATCTGGCTGTATGAGGAAGGAAAATATAGGCACATAAGCTTCAAAATCTTTGCATCTTTTGCAAAATTCATCTTTAAGTGCTTCAACGTAGGTTTTGAGTTCATTGTTGTTTACGGTCGATTCATTTGCAAGCGCTCTCACATCTGGGAAGTATTTGTAGGTGCTCGTGTTAATATCACGTAAAAATATATTTAATTTTGACGCAAATGCTGTCCTCCAATATTCAAATTATTCGAGCACCGTTTGGCGCTTTCCTTGCAATTTCAAGTTTAGTTCATTTAGATGATTTGTTACATCGGTCAGAAACATTAATTTGCCTAACCATTCTTCATCGTTCAATTCGGGGAAATGTTGTTCCTTTTCGTTAAGAAAAACTTTGATGGGTTCCAGACATGACACAAACTTATTTAAGACATTGCCTCGACTAAGCCAACGAACATAGCTGTATGAGGGAAGGTCAACATATTCACTTTCCATTTCTTCTAAAAGAGATTTAAATTGTCTGTGTGTTAGTGAAGAGCGAGACACTATAAAATTAACTATTTTAACAACAGTGTTCATTACAGGAATTAAGCGCTGTGACGAAATTTTGGCAACTAAACTTTCCTGGTGTATTATACAATGGAAGTTCAATATTTTATGTCCAATATGATTTTCAAGAAGTTTGACAAATCCTCTATCTTTGCCAATCATTGCAGCTGCGCCGTCAGTAGTTACAGAAAATATTTTTTTGACATTAATGTTCTTGCTGTCAAAATAACTTATGAATGAAGAAAGAATATCCTCCCCCTTAGTTGTCCCAGACAGAGGAATCAAAGTACACAATTCTTCATAAACTTGATCTTTATCACAATACCGTGCAAATACTGCAAGCCGCGCAATATCATTTACGTCGGTACTTTCATCAACAGCAACACTAAATGAAACAGCTTCTTGTAATCCAGCATTCTGTTTTGTTGTTACATTGTCTGCCATTTCAGTTATTCTTCTTTCAATTATTCGCGCAGAAGCCGGTATTTCTTGAATTCGGGATAATATGGTTTGTTGGTTAGGTAAATCGCTAAACAACTTTTCAGCACTTTTTATAAAAATTTCCTTTATATATTCTCCATCTGTAAAGGGTTTGCCTTTGGCAGCTATGCAATGAGCAATTGCGAAGCTGCATTCTGTCGCTTTAGCCTTCGTTCCAGTCATTCCACAAAAAAAGTTATTTGTTTCTTATAACAAGAAACAGCTTTCTTTATAGTTTCACATTTCTCATCGTTGCTATTAAATGTGGACTGATGTTTGGTTTGGAAATGTCTTTGTACACTTGACGTGCGGCATACTACACTTTCGCGGCATATCGCACATACAGCACGATCCTTTTGTTGTATAAATCCATATTCATTCGTCCAACAGTCTTGAAAACCGCGAACATCTAATTTTTGTTTCTTACTCTCCATTTGATTAAATACGAATGAATTATAACAAATATAAAATCAATAAGATACAAGTCTTCACAAAAAAAGTTAGAACGAAAAGTAGCGACCAAACGAAATGCAAGTTTAACTGCGCAAGTTTAAGCCCACCGCACAAGCACACAAGCAAATGGTGCGCAGCACTCGCAGTTGATAAACGAGAAAGAGGGGGCGAGTGATACTCCAACATTCAGCTTCGTGAAGGCCGCTTCGATAACTACTCGGCACTGCACATGTTTTATCCCTTTTACTCCGAATGCGGTCTCAATCAACCTTCGCGCAGATTTTCATGAAATTAGCGAACCACATTATAATCAAACTTTCTCTCTTATTTTCAACATTTTCCCTTATTTAAAAATCACTTCGTCTCGATATATTTGCGATTTTCCTAATTCCTTTGTAGCGTGCCATTCAGAATCCCTTCGCGTGCCAAGCCTGGCACGCGTGCCGTAGGTTGCCGATGCCTGGGCTAGATCACCCAGCAAACTTCAGGAAATGCCCATACTTTGAAGTATATATTCAAAATAGATTACATTCTAAAAAACGAGTTGATCATTCCATCAATTATTTTCCTGCTCCAAATCCTAAACCATTAATGAAATCCTTTTCTGAAACTATTACAAATACAAATTTTCCTCCACTTCCTAATACATACAATACTAATGCTTACGCACCACTACCTAATACCCATTTACAACAATCAACAAATATTCGTTCACAACAACCCACCAATAGTCACTTTCAACAAACAAACTGAAATACAAGAGGTATTTTCAGATAGCACAGTCAGGGATACTATTAATATCCTATTAAAATTAGCTAGAGATATTAAAAATGTAAAATCAATTAAAGAAAAAAATATTCTTATTTTTCAATGTTTTACTGAATTATGTTTATAAATGACAACACCATTCGGTATTGAGCTCTCGAAGCGTACAGATCGTGGAATAATCGAAAACAAATTTAATTCGTCTAAAATTACATAATGGAATCAGGGCCATACGGCGAAGCCGATGCCCAGTCGGACGACATAGACAGTGTGTATAAAATCGGTATAAGTGTAGCAGGTGATACGAGTAGATTATTAACATCGGAAACGTTAAAAAATGCTATTAGCAAAATTAATAAAATGGAAAGTGATTTAACTAAAGTGAATAAAAAAGAAATAAATAGTAAAAGTAAGGCAATTAAAAAAATAAATCATGAAATGTTAAAAAATGCAATAAAACAACAATCAAACAATAAAACAGTTAATGATAGTGAAGGTAATAAAAAAAATAATACACAAAATTGGGCAGAAGAAATGGAAGAAGGCGAAAATAATAATGATCAAAATGTAAGTAAAAATGAAAATAATGATAAAAATCAGGATATGAACTCAAGTATAAAAGGCGATAATTACAAATCAATGAAGTATTCCGAGAATGATATGGGTCCATTTACCATATATGTTGAATCAGTAGATAACTAGTGGGGTGGGTGGCATCGTGCCTTAAGGCAAATTGCTGGAACTTCCCGTACCGTAACGAAACGTTCGAGGAATATTGAATGTTTTCAAATAGATTATTATAAATATTGTATTATTGTCTAATATTTATAAGAATTATATAAACTGAATTGCAGAGTTGAAATTATTTGTTTAAAGTATATTAGAACTATAGTCAGAATTAAAAATAAAATCTGAATTATTTTCGATATACAAAAAATTAAAAAAAAAAAAAAAAAAAAAAAAAAAAATGGTACAATTTTTTTTTTTCCAAAATCAATTATTTTGTTAAGACAAGCAGAAAGTTCTTTGAATCAATTGAATCGGACGCTTAGTTCTCTCAAAAACTGCCATTTTTTGTACATTTAGCTCTGTATCTCCGAAATGGCTGGGCCTGCCTTTGCGAAAAACTAATAACCCTTTCTCCCAATCATTACTAATGGAATGTTTTTCAGATAATTCAAATCGGATGCTCCGTTCTCTCAAAAACTCGATTTCTATTTTCTGCACTCTTTGCTCCTTATCTCCGTAACTGCTGGACCTGTCTTTGCCAAAAACTAATCAGCTCTTCTCCTTATTAATAGGAATCGAATGTTTTTTAAACCATTCAAATCGGTTGATCCGTACGCCCGAAAACGTGGACGAAAATTTGTATCCATACATACATACACACACACACACACACACACACACACACACACATCCATTTTTTCTGAGGTATGCCAAAACATTCAGAAACCTTCAAAACGTCGAGAAATGTTAAAATTTTCAATTCCGATTTTCGGCCCATTACAATAACTTACCCTACGGGAAGTTAAAAATACAGTACATCAAATGACAGTAGGCAGAATATTATTTAGCAGTTTACCTCAATATAAAAACGATATTATAGAAATAAAATCCATAGGCATTAACAGAATTAAAATTACGTTTAATACATATGACGCTGCAAATAAAATAATTAATGAGAAATTATTTATGGAAAAGAAATTAAAAGCATATATACCTATTTCTATGTTGATTAGGAAGGGCGTTATATATGATGTCGACACCGATATGACTGAATCAGATATTATGGAAAATATAAAATCAGAAATTCCTGTTTTAGATATTAGAAGAATAAAAAAAAAACAAGACAATGCATTAGTACCAACAAGGGTATGCGTAATAACGTTCAGAGGTCAACGTTTACCTGACCGTGTTTCGATATACGCTGTCAAATGCAGGGTCGAAATTTACAACAAAGTGACACAATGTTTTAAATGCCAAGGAATGGGCCACGTGACTAGCCAGTGTAAAAGTAAAGCGAGGTGCAGCTATTGTGCACAAGAACACAGTTTCAAGGATTGTGTAAATAAAGATAAGAATCCGATTTGTGCGTTATGCAATGGGGAGCATCAAGCCATAGATAAAAAGTGTGAAAAATATTTGTTTCATATGAAAATTAAAAATATAATGAACGAAAATAACATAAGTTTCAGAGAAGCCAGGGCATTTATAAACAATAGAACATATGCCAACGTCATAAATCCGGACATAGAAATCAGAAACAAAGTGAAATTTCCTGAATTGCCCAATACGCAGCAGGAAAAACATGCAGAAATAAATCAACAGCTTGTAACCACGAAGCCTTCAACAACAATATCTAAACAGACATATAGGAATAGCAATTCCATAAACGTAACAAATTATGGTGACAACAACAAAACAATCGAAAATATGTCCAGTACACAGGAGCGAAACAGGTACAAATTTAAATACAATATTAACACAAAACCAAAATCTTCCTCACATATCAATAGTGAGAAAGGTGAAATTCCATTCGATAAATTAATCGAAGAATTAATTATTAACATATCAAAGAAAAAAGATTACACATTAAAAATTCTGAAAGAGTTAATTAAAGATATGGATAGATGACAAAAATAATATATGACAAATAAATGACTGGAAAAATAAAAATACTACAAATTAATTGCAGATCTGTTACAGCTAATAAGGCCAGTATTGAACATTTCCTTTATGAAAATGAAATTTCAATCGCGGCTTTCACTGAAACATGGTTTAAACCGGAATATCAATACTCTTTCAGAGGATATCGAATGTTTCGCAAAGACAGGGAAGATGGATATGGAGGAGCAGCAATCATTGTTAGAAATGACATAAATTGTGAGGAATTTCCTTCAGTCAACAATAATGAGAATATACAAATATGCGCCGCCATAATTAAAACAGATACTCCATTTTGCATTCTCTCAGTATATTGCTCTACTAGAACAGAATTAGATTTTTCAGATATCAAGGACACTATCTCAACAATCAACATGAGCTTTTTAATTACTGGCGATTTTAATTGTCATCATATGGCATGGGGAAGCAAATACAATAGCAGGGAAGGTAATATGTTATATGAAATCATAGAGGACAACGCAATACTAATTCTTAATGACGGACGTCCAACTACAGTAGCAAATAAATACAGGAGTGCTACGAACATAGATCTAACACTGTGCTCAGGAAATTTTATAGATACTATTAAATGGGATGTATGCCAAGAGGTATTGGGATCGGATCATTTGCCTATAACAATAACTTTGGAGATAAAGGTGCCTTCGGTCATAAGAACGCGCCCTACAAAAAAGTGGAATATAAAATTTGCTAACTGGCAGGGATACTCCCGAGATATTATGCAATATATCCAAACAGGACAAATCTCAGACGATATAACAGCGAGATATAAACGTATCATACAGATTACCGAAAAATCTGCAGAGAAAAATATAAAACAATATAAAGAAATTAAGAGACCGATTTTTAAGCCAGCGATATGGTGGGATCAAGATTGCGAAAAAGCCATTTCAGATCGAAGAACAACATATAAAAAGATGCGTCAGCATTGTAATTACGAAAACTTCATACAATACCAAAAAATCAATGCACGCACTAAAAAGTTTTTGAAAAACAAGAAAAAAGAAAGTTGGCTGAATTTCATTAACTCCATCAATCAGGACATGAGTCCCGCAGTAATTTGGAACAAAATTAGACTTTTTAAAAATAAAAATAACATTATAAACACAACACAAAAAATTAAAAAAGAATTTGGGCAATTACTATTACAAAATTATGCACCAGACTTTGTTTCGGACAATCGTAAAGAAAATATAGGAGTATATTGTGAAGAAAGCGCACTGACAAGGAATTTCAAATTAGAGGAATTAGAGGATGCATTAAAAAAGAGGAAAAATACG